CCCCCTCCTCCCACCCTCCAGGGCGCGGACGCCTCGCTGGTTTGTTGGTATTCGGGTGCCCCACTCCCGGGCCCCGCCCATTGGAGAATGGCGCCTCCCCAGGCCCGTTCCCATTGGCTCCCTCCTGGGGCCCGCCCCTCGGCTCTTCCTGCCCTCGGGCCCCGCCCCTCACTGGTTGCCATCCGCAGGTGGTGTTTGAGAAGGGAGGCGTGTACCTGCACACCAGCGCCAAGAAGCACCAAGACCCGGACTCCCTCATCGCTGGCGTCATCCGAGTGGTGGAGAAGGTGGGCCAGGACGGAGCAGGGCTCGAGCAGGCCCAGGGCAGGGTGGAGGCAGCGTGTGTAGGAGTACGGTCTAGTCAGCGAGGGGACCTTAGGAAGACAGGCTGGGGACAGGGGAGAGAGGCAAGGCTTTGTCAAGCTGAAAGCCCGAAACAGGGAAGAAGCTTGGCAATGTGGTTTGCGGAGTTAGGAGGGGAGCCCCCTAACCCCTCCCTCCTTCCCTCAGGACAATGACGTCCTCCTGCACTGGGCTCCCCTAGAGGAGGCTGGAGATGCCACCCAAATCCTCTTCAAGAAGGTAGGCTTCCTGCACTTCCCCCTTCCACACTTGCTTTTTTCTGGGCCCAGGTGGTGGAAGGCATTTGAAAGACCTGGGTACAACCCCAGACCTACCCTTGGGGCAGATGTGACCCAGTTTGGTTGTCTCTGTGAAATGGGGCTGAAGATACCTATTCATGGAAAGTAAGCAGGTACTGTGAGGTTTGTGACTATGGCGACCGCTGCCCCCTCACCCCCTTTGCTCCTTGGGAGAGCCCTGCCAGGACACAAGAGGACAATTCAGCCTGTGGATTTGGGTTCCAGGGGCTGTTAGTCCATAAGAACTTGAAGAAGGATAGGGTTTCCTCTGGGGAAGTCCTGCCATCGTGTCCATGCCCACTTTGACAGCACTCCTTCCTCCTGCAATACAGGACCTTGACCTTCTCGTTAGGTGGACTCCTGGGGCTTCTTTCAGGCCCTGTGCTGGATGGTGCTCGCACCCAGAGATGAGTCCAGCCTAGGCCCTGCCTAAGCCCTCACCCCCATTCTATTTTTGAGAAATTGAGGCACAATGAGGGGAAGCTTCTTTTCCGAGATAAAAAAAAAACTAGGAGGTGTTAGAACTTGGGTTTGAACCCAAGCACACTGAATCTAGAGCCCTTCCTCTTCCTGGGGGAGCAGACATTTGAGCTGGGATTCTAAAGATGAGGAGGTGGCAAGAGAAAGTGTGTTTCAGGGCACAGGGGGGAGTGGGATGTCTCTGTGGAGGGATTTGCTGGGAAGGTGGTTTGGCCTGAAGTGCCAGGCTCAGAAGCTTGGATCCTGTCCTGGGGACTCTGGGGACAATCGGGAGGAGAAGGGTGTGAGTGTAGAAAGCCCCCTGGTGGGGGCATGTGGGAGCTGGACCAAAGGACCAAATGGAGGGAGATTGAAAGCTAGAAGGTCAGGGAGGGGGCCAATGTGATGGGCCAGGGAGAGAGGAGAAAGCTTCAGCTGGGGCCAGGGGAACCTTTCATGCTGCCATTCTTCTGACATCACTCCTCACATTATTTTCATAACCAGTAGGCCGGCTACTTTTATTGAAATAGAATTTATCTACCATAAAGCTCAATTTTATGGTAAAATTTAAGGTTTCAAAGTGCATAATTCAGTGGTTTTCAGTATTCACAAGGTTTTGCAACCATAGTCAGTACCCAACCCCAGAATGTTTTGTCATGCCCAAAAGAAACCCTGTGGCTGTCAGCATTCGCTCTCCATTCTCCCCTCTCCCAGCTCTTGGCAACCACTAGTCTTCTTTCTGTTTCTACAGATTTGCCTATTCCAAACATTTCATATAGGTGGAATCTTACTGTTTTGGTCCTTTGTGTCTGGCTTCTTTACTTGGGATGCTTTCCGGGTTCATCCATGTTGTAACGTGGATCAGAACTTCATTCCTTTTTATTGCTGAACAATGTTCTGTTGTATGGCTCTGAGACTTGATTCGTCAGTTTGGTGGACGCTGGGTTGTTTCCACTTCTTGGCTGTCAGGAATAATGTATGAGTTCTTGTATGGACATTTATATTCATTTCTCTGGAGTTTATACCTAGGAGTGGAATTGCTGGGTCACATGGTAATTCCATGTTTCACCTTTGGAGGAACTGCCAGACTTTTCCACAGCGGGTTCACCATTTTATATTCTCACCTGCAGTGTGAGGCTTCTAGTTTCTCTACGTCATTCACAACACGTTATTACCTGTTTTAAAATTTTTTTGTTATTCTAGCCATCCTAGTGGGCACACAGGGATAGCTGATGGTGGTTTTGAGTTGCCCTAGTGAATACTACATACTTGAAGCACTGAGACCTCAGGCAGTCTGACAGCACAGCCTGCCCCTGCTTAACTGCCTGCTCACCAGGCGCTGGTGCTTTGGTGAGAACCACCAGGAGACTTGGCTTTGAGTCCTGGCCCAGTCCCAGTCCGTAGCTGTTCTGGTTGACCGTAAGCAAGTGCTGTGCCCTCATTGTGCCTCAGTTTCCCTTTGTTCAGTGGGGCTACCTTCCAGGATAGCCTTGTGGCTTCAGTCCAGAAACTCTGAATCTGCAGCCCCTCTCTTCCTTTCTTTCCCCAAGGATGCCAGTGGGGGTGACTCCTGCACCTCTGAGGACGAACCAACCT